AGACCCGGAGTTCGAATAACGCGGCAGCAAGACCGCAACGTTGATCTGCGGCTGGGCCTGCATGACCTCAGGTTGTTGGGGTTTGAGCGTCGGAGCTAATGAACATTGCGACACAATAGAAATCTCCACACGCCGCTGGCTAGCAAAGCGCTGCTGCTATGTGCTATGGCATCATCAAGAAGTATCAAGAGGTAGCGTTGGAAGACCTCGAATGCCATCTGACATCTAATACATGACGTACATAGTATGTATATTACAGAAAACCTCAAACCGTATCCTTCCCTTCCCGGCCTGTGGCTGCATGACACGACAAAGGACTTCACACTGCGAACAGGCGACGTAGGTTTGGCTTGAGCCGTGATTCTTCGGACCCGACATCTGCTTCGGCCACTCGATTAGGAGGCATGTCTCACAGGCATGCACCAGAATGTACTGCCTGTGCCTTCATTGTCGCGTCAGCAAACTGCGTCCACACAGGTGGACCTCTAGACGTTTCATGACGTCTCCACATCGAAACATCTATGTGTATGTGTATGTACATAACAAAATAAATACAAACAGAAAACGAAGATACATATACATATACATATACTTACATATATATATATATATATATATATACATATATATATATATATGTGTGTGTGTGTGTGCATGGGTGCATACATATATATATATATATATATATATGTGTGTGTGTGTGTGCATCTAGATATCATATATACGACGTGTATATATTTATATATAATGTGTGTATGTATGTATATATATATATATTAACTGTATAACACACATGCACATACATAACCTGGAGAGAGACACAAGCAGACGCTTCGATATAGATGAGCAGACGAAATGCCCATGTCGACTGCTTTCAGTGGTCGAGGATAAGAACCACGTGCCTAGCTTCTCGTGCGAATCAGATTGCGGGATCCCGTTCGTCCTTCGTGAGGCGGAACACCTCCTCCGGCGGCCTACCAGCACCCATCTGCGCAGGGCCATGGCTGAACACCTAGAGGTGTACCTGGCAACTAGGACGCGGGGCCTCGGGCCTGGTCAGGCTTAGTTCCAAGTGCTTCTATACGGTCAGTGCTGCGGGTGCTGCGAGCGGTTCTGGGCAATCGTTGGACATGCCGGCTGTGGGTCAAAAGCCCGGCCTGAAGCCAGCTGTTCTTCCAAGTGATATGTGAGCCCAAAGCTCCGAAGACTCACCACAATGAACACTTGCCTAATCTTGCCTGGTAAGAAGGCTACAACATTGTGAACAAGCCAGAGGCTCCTCGCCGTATTGCATGCGCCCAACACATGCTCAGGCCCTGGGAAATTTATTGTGGACCCCGGCCCCCGCGTCGAGAGGCGCGCTGACGCTTCGGGTCATAGCAAGGAAAACAGTGAGAGACGCAGGATTCGTGATGCTGCAAAGGATGAAGCAATCGTGTGACGAACTGCGCAGAAATCCTGTGGCTGATGACCACGGAGGAGCAGGAGCAGGAGCAGTGGGACTGGTGCCAGTACTAAGCACTAGCAATGAACACTTTCGTAGTCGTGATTAACTGGACGTACACACACATGCCTGTCTGCACGAGTGCGTCTCTCTCTCTCTCTCTCTCTCTCTGTCTCTCTCGCTGTGAGCGCTGAAGCCTGCCTTGACCGAGGCCTCTTCTAGCGAGGTCAGCAGCCGCCCAAGCAGCACCTGTCCAATGGCCATTCAGGGATGCACAAGACAAGGAGACGGCTCTGCATGTTTCGACATGTTTCGAGAGAGATAACATGAGATTCTATCAAACGTGTCCAGACGAAGTCACATAAGAGCAGACCCACCCGACGAGGGACAACACACATGCCAAACATCTTCACACTGCACCGCCAAACAAGTTGGTGTCTGTGACTTCTTGAAACATCATACTGAATATAGCAGAAATATCACAGTGATAGTACATCATGCTGCAAGCAGTGGCTCCTGTTTTGCTGGGTGGGGCACATCGAAGTTGGCGGCACCACGACCGGCGAAGTGAACCACCGCTGCGTGTGCCTGGTAGGGTTTGGGGGTTTAGGCAGAGCTTTGGACTGAAGAATCAAGGGCCCCCTGCGTTCCTTTCGAGCCCTCTGTTCCTTCCAGTTGATGTCAGGAAGGCCACCTATGCCACCTCGACCTACGCATGCAAGGTTTATGGCATCGAAACTGCAGATGATGTCTGCATAAATCCTGGCAGCCATCAGCATTCCGTTGCTACTTTCTCCTCAATCCCTGGGAGCCTGGTGGCCCCGTGTGCACGAAAACCACGCCTGCCTGCGGTTGCTGCAGGACAGCGGCCTGCACCTGCCGGTAAGGCGAGTGCACGACGTCTATGCTCAAGGCTCAAGAGTCTGTGGAGCTTTTCGTATCGTTTTGAACAAAGCTGGTGCGCTCCGAAACAATTGTCGCGCCACCCCCAAAATCCCAAACCCTCCAACCCTGAAACCTGAAACCCCCAAAGAAACCCCAAAAAGGGAGGGGCCCGGCCTCACGCGCCGTGGCTTCGGCTTTGGGCCCGACGCCAGGCTCCGTGGAGAGCAGGAAGAGGCCTTTTTTCGTTGGGCTTTCGGAGTTTAGGAGTTTAGGGTGGCAAGGGTTGAGGGTTTAGGAGTTAGGAGTTTAGGAGTTTGAAGGCTTCACGACGTGGGCTGAAGGATCGGTGTCCAGAAAACTTCAGGCGGCTTCTGGTGAAGGGGGAGCAGCTCGACGAGTCAGGCATGTCAGTTTCCGGTTTAGGGCTTTATTTGTGACTCAAAGTGGAGCTTCATAGTAGCCGTCGCCGCCATCACCACCTAGTACTGGTACCAGTACTGGTACGAGTAGTAGTAGTAGTAGTAGTAGTAGTAGTAGTAGTAGTAGTAGTAGTAGTAGTAGTGGTGGTGATGGTGGTGGTAGTAGTAGGAGTAGGAGTAGGAGTAGGAGTAGGAGTAGGAGTAGGAGTAGGAGTAGGAGTAGGAATAGGAGTAGTAGTAGTAGTAGTAGTAGTAGTAGTAGTAGTAGTAGTAGTAGTAGTAGTAGGAATAGGAGTAGTAGTAGTAGTAGTAGTAGTAGTTGTTGTAGTAGTAGTAGTAGTAGTAGTGAAGTAGGAGTGGTGGTGGTAGCTGTAGCAGCCACCAAAGCAGCAGTGGTATTGGTAGTGTAACAGTAACAACAACGCCAGTACCAGAATGGCACTGACAGTAACAACGGCAATACCACAGTACCGAAAACAGACACAGTCATGACAAGAACAGATATGTTACTTATCTGATTCTCTTGCAACCCTGGGCATCATATGGGAAACTCCAAAAGTGCAAGTCTCGTGGCTTCGACGTGAAGGACGCTCCAGAAGCAGGCCCAGCTCGCCAGTCAGGGCATTGCAGAAGTCTGGAGCCAGAAGGGGTTCAAAACGGGCTTTTTAAAACCCCTCCTGCAGAAGTTTGATGCGTGTCATTCGCGGCGGAAGCATGGAAGTTGCAACTGCGCCATGTCGACTTTCCATAAACCCCTGTTACATCTCCCTACCCATGACAGCATGGATCCTTAAAGCCCTGGACCTATCACCCTTGAAGGCGCTAGATCTCTTAAGTAAGATGTCAAGCCCAGACAACAAAGCTGCTGACAGCCGCATACGCCCCAGGCACCTCGACGAAGAATGCCCAAAGGCCTGTCCGAAACCGATGTCGATATTCAGCGCTATCGTGCAGACGCGCAACAATTTTATTTGCAATCTTTGCCACCATGACGACAAACAAGATAATGATGCTGGCAATGCATACCGCTACTGATGATGACAACTACTGCGTCTCCAACTAACGCAATTACCACAGCCATTTCAAAGTAGTAGTAGCAGTAGTAGCAGTAGTAGTAGTAGTAGCAGCAGCAGCAGCAGTAGTAGTCGTCGTCGTAGTCGTCGTCGTGGTCGTAGCAGCAGTGGTCGTCGCAGTCGTCATCGTAGTAGTAGTAGTAGTAGTAGTAGTAGTAGTAGTAGTAGTAGTAGTAGTAGTAGTAGTAGTAGTAGTAGTAGTAGTAGTACTCTACTACTACTACTACTACTACTACTACTACTACTACTACTACTACTACTACTGCTACTACTACTACTACTACGACTACGACTACGACCACGACTACGCCTGCTCCTACTTCTACTCCTGCTCCTACACTGTCACTGCCACTGCTATTGCCACTGCTATTGCCACTACTACTGCTGCCGCTACTGCTGCTGCTACTGCTGCTACTACTGCTGCTGCTACTGATGCTAGTTTGACTTCTACTGCTTCGTCTTCTACTACTACTGCTTCTTCTTCTTCTACTACTACTACTACTTCGACGACGACTGCGACTACTTGGCGCACTACGACTGCGCCGACACCTATGCCATCGTTTAAACCTGCTGTTACAGTCACGTCTATGGCTTCGGCTACGCCTACGACTAAGTTTACGACTACGAGCACTATGGCGACGGCTACTCCCACTCCCACTGCCACCTCCTTGCCAGCCATCTGCACAAGGCTGCCATGGCTGGGGGGAGCACATGAGGAGAAACTGAGAGACCCCTACATTTACCATTCAGGGCTGGGCTCGAGGGCAAAGTGCAACTTCCAAGCAGGTCGCAGGGGGCGGCCAGTCTGGCGCAGCAGATCGGCTACCAATCGGAGATCTGGGCAAAGGGCCCTGGGGCCCTGAGACATGCGATCCCTAAAGGCAGGCGATGGCATGGCAGGGGTGTTGGGAGGACCGGCTTGGTTCGCCGAAGGCTTGGGGTTTAGGGGTCTAGGCAAGTGGTTCAGGGAGAGCCATAAGCCCCACAACATCTCCCAAAGCCGGTGTCTCGGAGTGAATACTCAAGCCATGCCTTGTGTTCTTTAAACTTCACTATGTCCGAAAACTTGATTCTAATCGCGCGAAGGCTCCGGTTTGCATCCAGGACGACCTGAAACGATCCTCCCCGAAACCCTTAGCTGAGCTCTTTCTGAGCAACGCTAGGAATGGCTCAGTCCGGTCATCGCTGCAGCCGCCCGGACTCCTGGTCTTGTTTGGGCAAAGTATCGGCTTCCCTTGAGGGTGGGAGGCTCAGGTTTTGGGCCTAATGCGAACACGACTTGTCGTCATTCACCCGCTGTGCAAAATGACCGGAACCCAAATTTCTGCCGGCTTCAACGATTCAGATACCTCAGCAGGATACGAGCTCTTCATAGAGCTGAAGCGAACGCAAGACTTCGGCTGAATGGCGAGAGCGGAGCAAGCTAAGGGAGAGAGAGAGAGAGGGAGAGAGAGCGACAGAGAGACAGACAGAGACAGACAGAGAGAGAGAGAGAGAGAGCGAGAGAGCGAGAGAACAAGAGAGCGAGAGAGAGCGAGAGAGAGCGTGACAGAGAGACAGAGAGGGTACGGGTGGAGGGAAGCTACGACATCACCGCATCACAACCTCGCATAGTGAGGAGACAATGCAGTCGGAGGATGTGATTGCAATGATGCGGGAGCAGAGAACAGCCTGAGCGACAAGTGGGATGGGAGGTTGCTGTCAGGCTTTTATCATCGCCATCAGCGTCACCGTCATCATGACGTGAGCATCACCAGCGCCAAGACAACCCCCACGTTCTTCTCCGCCCGTCGGCAAGCATCGTCTTCTGCTTTCGCCCTTCTGAGACCCAAGCAAGCTTCAGCAAGCAGCCTGAAAGACCCTCCATAGGGGCTCTCGCGCCTGCAGCAGCGCCGGCAGCTCTACCGGCCAGGGCAAGTCCGGATTGCCCACCGCCGGGAGCTTCGTGGCCGCTGCGTCGCCGGGGCTGCGGTAGACAACCTTGCGGTATGTGCATGGTCCTACTAGTACTAGTATATCATGATGCCTAACCAGTGCTAGAAGCCCTTGCTGTTCTGGTACTGGTGCTGCCGTACTGCAACCACTGGCACTTCTACACACTTTATAGGCACTATCACCGCTGCTGTTGCTAGTCATGCTTCTGTTCTTATGACTACTGAGACCACTCATTTTACACGTATGCTTATGCTGTCCTTCTCATGTGATAAGGACGGGCTTCAGTGACCACATCTGCATAACGCGACTACTGGTCATACTATCAACAGCACACTTGATACATGTTGATACTAATGCCATATTTGCATGAGACTCTCCGATACTATGAGGATGACTTTACTGATACTGCGTCGAAACACATTTTTGGGCTTCCGGGCTCGAAATGTTGGGCACAATCTTCTGGCATAGGTGAAGGCCCAGCACCAGTCACTAGACCCCAAAACCACCGGTCGTGGGCTTGGCAGTTCCACCCCACAGCCGCAGCCCAGGAGCCATGGGAAAGTACTCGGGGGCTTTGCCTCGGTCGGAGTCGGAAGGAACGAGAACCCTACAAACGGGGCCTGAATGGTTCGACTAGACGCTCGCCCCTTGGCTTCCATGCGGGCTGGTCATTTAGGAGTTCAGGGGCTTCTTGCTGAGGTCATGTCTAACACGAACCTCACACGGAAAACACCAAACTGCTTGCTGGGAAAGTCCAGGGTGTTGTGGTTTCGGGTTGGGGGTGCCAACAACCACTACAACAACGACGATGACAAACATGCGATGACGCCACCAACAACTGCGATGACTGCTACAACCAAAACCACAGCCGCCACCGCCATCACCGCCACCACCAGCACCTCTACAACCACCACCATGACGACGACAACGAGCGACGCCTACAACAAGTAAATGAACCAATCACACAAACAACAAACAAGACAAAACCAACCTCCAAGGCAAACGCCAACTTAAATGCCAACATCAGCAGCAGCAGCAGCAGCAGCAGCAGCAGCAGCAGCGGCAGCAGCACTGCCACTGCACCAGTAGTGTGACCACGTCCGCTAACTCCACTGCCCCTACCTCTCCTGCTCCGACACTAGCGATGACGACTAGCACATGAGCAGATCCCTTCTCAAACACCGTCTCGCATTGCCATAGCAGGTGGCCATAGGGAGTTGTTGTAGTCATGCGGTCGGCGACCTTTTGCATCAGGTTGAGAGCACCACAAAGGATCCCATCCTGAACTCCTGACCTGCCCCACATGATAAGCAGAAGCATTCTACTTCCGCTAGCACCACTGCCACCACCTAGGTACCACCGGCTCAACCTTCGATTATAAGCACTGTCAGTTTCATTACGGCATTGCTGAATAATGCTGAGAGTTTTGCCGTTGCTGTGACAGTATGACTACACTGCGACTACGAGACCAAGCTTGCGACTGCGACTACGAGGAAGATTACGACTACGACTGCGACTACGGCTATGACGACGACTACTAGCACTCTCCTGCTACTCCTCCTCCTGCTCCTGCCGTCTGTTGCTATGACTACTGCTGCTGCTACTACTACTACCACTACTACTACTCGTACTAAGACGACGACGACTGCGAGCACTGCTTACACTTCTTACCAGTCTTGCCCACCAGCATAAACGATTCCAACGACCTAAATGACTGGGAGCGTAGTAGTGGTGGTAATAGCAGTAGCAGTAGCAGTCGCAGGAGCAGTAGTAGTAGTAGTAGTAGTAGTAGCAGTAGTAGTAGCAGTAGTGGCAGCAGTGGCAGTGGTTGGGGTAGTAGCAGTAGTAGTGTGTCGGGGAGTAGAAGTAGGAATAGGAGTAGGAGCAGGACTACCAGTAACAGTAGCAGTAGCCGTGCCTGAGCTCTGGTAGCCAGGGCTGTTTCCCCTTCTGCTGGGGGCAGTGGTGGCGAGACGGGCGCAGAGACCATCTCCTGTGAGCTTCAGGAACTGTCGGGTTTCGGGCTGAAGTGCCCCGCTATCTGCACTAGCTATCTTATCGGCACTCTCCACCGCATCGTCTTGGGCACCAGCAAGCTGAGCAGTGTAACTACGAGCATGGCGTAAGCACCATTGTGGTTGAATAACTTGCGTCATGGACACGAGAAGAGATTCCGATCACTCTGCCACTGTACATGCGTTGGCCATACACGTCCGCATGATTATGATCATGCTGGCAATTCTTGCAACCGGTGATCTGTCATTCTCGCTGGCATCATGCCTGTCAGTAGTACTTTCACAACATGCTGTTTTGCAGTCATGAACCATCTCATGGGAGTTTCCGAGAAGAGGAGACCCTAATTTAGTACCCTAAATAGTAGGATCCTTCTTGTAAGGACCCCAAAATAGGTGCCCCTATTTTCGGAAACTCCCACATGTCTGAGCTGTCTTGAACCGGTTACACAGGCGCCGCCAGGCCTCTGGACTCGATGCGACCCGGCTGAGGCCTTGCTCCGGGTTTAGGGTTTAGGGTTTAGGGTCTACAGGTCTTTTGGGTGGCGTCTCCCAAGAACAGAATGACCTCATCTTGGCAGCTCATCCCGAATCCGACTTTCACAATGAGCCCGGGCCTGGATTAGCAACTGCAGGGGCCAAGGTCACGCCCGAGTCCGGGCGAGGGGCCTCCTGGGTTCGGAGGGAAGACCAAGCGGAGTCGGAATATTGGAAACAATGGTCACGACAGTCATCACCAGAAAGCGGCGACACCATCGAATTACGAAAGCAAGAAGCTGAATGAATGCAGTTGACATTCGTCACTATGACTGCAAGAACAACACCCAACAAAATGCATGATCAGCACCTCGGCGACCATAACAGCAGAAGCAGCAGCAGCAGCAGCAGCAGCAAACAACCACAATGCGCAGCAGCGGAAATAGCAACAGCAAGAACAACGACGACGAGCCATCATCATCATGGTCATCACCATCTAAACATGACTCGACTCAGTATTCGCTTACTCATGGCACTAGAACCGAATTGCAACGATGACGATGACAACAAAGACACTGCCGATGTTGAGGCTTGCTGCTGCTAGTAGCTCTCGATTTGTCAGAGCTCTGAAAAAAATGAACTTGAATATTGTATCATTACAATCGTCACGAACGTGCTCATTATCGATTTGGTTTTCAGCTATTTTACGCTGGCTATGCAGCACTCATGGACTGTCAGCTCTTCTTGTATTGTCGCTCTGCACTACTACTCCTGAATGCATGCAAGGCGTCACACTGGCTGGCACAGGCGGCAACTGTTGAGTTGTCCTCCGGACCTTCCCCGCAGACGCCCAACAACACAATGTTCAAACGAAGATTTCGGGAGTTCAGCCCACCCTGCCTGCCTCACACCCTGCTTCTGCCAACCTCAATGCCTCTTCTGACACTCAGCACAAAAAAAACTCCACCCTTGCCATCCTTGCCTTTACCGCCCATCGCCGGGCAGTCGATGTTCCCAATACCCGCCAGCTCACAGGGAGCACAGGACGACTTGGTGGCTCCTGACTGATCCTCAGGGAAACAACATCCAGTCAAGAGTAGCACGCACACATATGCAGACTTTCGGACACATCCAACTCATGGAAGCGGCTGTGGCGGCGTGGTCAGCTGCCGGCAGTGCCCGATCCAGCTACAGCGGGCAAGATAATGACAGATTACGAACCACCCCAACAACCACCTGATGCACCTTCGAGCATTCAAGCCATCTACAAATGCCATATGGGAGTTTCCGAAAACTAGGGGTACCTTATTTTGGGGTCCTTATAATCAGGATCCTACTATTTCGGGTACTATCTTAGGGTCCCCTATTTTCGGAAACTCTCATATTCCAGCATTTTTCTGCGTCGCACTCTTGACATTCGCCGCGTTTGCGGCGAAGGACAACTTGGCTTGTCTGGTGCCAAACTACCTTTTGGTATTTTGCTGGTTAAATATGTACTGAGCTGAGAAAATTGATCGAGAAAACACTAATTGTAAAAGGTGTGCAAATAACGCGAATTCAAATGCTAAAGGTTTCATCTGCCGTGGTAGTGTGCACTGTCTGCTCATCACTGCCATGAATATGCGTGACGGCCGAGAACCGGCAGTGGATTCCACAAGCACACACTGACCAGAATAGAAGAAGAAGCACCGGAAACAGTTGGTCGTCCGCTGTGTGCCTCAAAGAGAAGAACACCGATCCCCATACCAATGAGGTGAAAATGACTACCACCGTGGCGGTCAAGAGGACGATGAGCCAACGCTCCAGTTTCGAGTCTTTCCGAGATGCCCGGAGGCCAAGCTTCCAAAGCGGCAACGATATCCGAACCGCCAACAGGCTGGCCAGTGCCACTGTGCCCCAGCGCGCTGCCTCCCGCAGGCTCCAGACAAAGAACGCATAACCAGAAAGGCCGAGCATGTTCGAATTATAGGCGGCCGTCCACTGCGCGATGGGGTCTGCAATGTATGGAACGCTGCTTGCACCGACCATGTACAGCGTGTAGTTCCAGGGCAAAGCAAAGCCACTTGCAACTGCCGCAATGCGCGGAGCCAGTTCTTCGCGGATCTTGACATTGAACCTATCGAGATGAACGCAGTCGGTCTTCAATTCTTCTTGCTCGGAGCCATACCACTTGCGCAGCATGCTGTACATCATCTGCCTGTCACACGGCAGCTTCGCTCCTGTGTGCGGATGCCGGTGGTTGTTGCAGCAGCAGAAACAGACAGCATCCTGCACCGAAAAGGATGCGAGCTGCCTAACTGCTTGCTCCATTTCTGCCACCAGCACAAGGCCCAGGTAGAAGAGGGGTAGTACTGTTGCAGCAGCGAAAAGCAGCATCAGGCCGTTGAGAAGTATTCCTACTCTCACCGTGTCCTGTGTCCCCGGCTTGATCTCCCCCTTAGGTGAAAAGAACTCGTAATAGAAAACATTCCAGCCGATGACCAAGAGAAACCAAACCCCGGAAGCCAGAGAAAGAATTTGAGCTGTCATCAAGGGCATAAACTTGATCTTCCTTTGCCTCGCCGGGTCCTTCATAAATGTACCCATCTCAAAGCAACACCATAGTCGTTTGCAGTAGTTCGATGTGAAAAGGATGATGAGATCCCTCGAGTTCAGCAGGAAAGCTGGCATTCCCATGATACCGTCCCTCTTCAAGCACGCGTCATCCTGCGCAATGCAGAGCTTGTCTACGAAGACCATTCTGGGTCGTCGGAAGGGTCTTTGGAGCTGAGGCCAAAAGAAGAAGACGAGGAAGAAGGAGCAAAATCCGAAGGCCACCGTCCAGTGCTCGTTGGGCAGCCGGCCGAAGCCCCGCAACACTCCCACAAGGATACTGACCAGAAGGCTGGTGCAAAATGCAGCACCGGAGTTGGAGATGATCAGCAAGGCCAGAACTTTCTGGAAGCCGCGTGAGGCCCAATCGTGGCTTACGAAGAAGTCCAGGGCTTTTACCGGACGGCTCAATCCGACGCTCTTTCCGGAAATCACTTGGCCAGCTTTCGCGTTCACCCAGTGCCGAGGTTGGAGAGCCCTATGCAGGGGAACACCACGCAGTCGCTCGGCATCCAGCACCAGGCTCAACTCACTGCAGACGCGGCAAGCAGACATCTCATGTGGGCTGCCGCCCTCGGTGTCTTCCGAGCCTTCGTCCTCAGCCTCACCCGCCGACATGGCAAGATTTCACTTACCCTCTCGAAACGGGTCTCCCTGCAGTACTGAAGCCGGTCCCTCCGGCGACATCACGCAGCATCAGATACATCACAGGCATGCATGCAAAAGACCCGAAGCACTTGCCCACAGTTCCGGGTCCTTGTATGAGATGAACATGCACCTGTCGCATTTTGTCAGCGGCAAAGTGATGGCCCGACAAACTGCCCAGACTCGCACGATACCTGCTTTATCAAAACCCATGCATCGGAAGACAAACAGTGGTAGTAACGGGAGGCTGTTGAATCCCAAGTTCACACTGTCATCGGAGCCTGGAGTTGGTCTGGTCTCCACGGCTGAAGCAGGAGGTCTGGCTGTCCTCCAAGCCAGCGCTCGGTTCAAGTTAAGGGCCCTAAATGCGCTGAGTAGCGCAAGCAGCGTATGTTACAGCTCCAATACGAGATGCAAGAGCCCACACGACAGCCTTGGGCCTTGAGCATGGGCCTGAAGCCCCACGGTGCTGCAAGCCCAGCAGCAGTAGCAGCCAAAAAAGAAGCTACTGCTATGACTCTTCTTGTTGTCTTCGTCGATGCTAGGTGGTTGGCGATGTGATGATGCGTTTCCTCTCGTGCCAGGTTTTGCTTTGAGCCTTTGCCGTTCCTGTCGTTGTTCTCGAGATGATGGAATCATCACCTCTATCGTCGTTATACCAGAAGAGTTACAAACAGCATCAGAATCCTTGTCATGCATCAAGATCGCTGAATACGTGCGTTTGTTCATCCGACAAGGTGAACCCTAAACCATTGGGGCCCCGAGGATCGCTACGTCGGTGGGGCATCTCTAGGCCTTGGCAGAGCCTGGCAGAGCCTAGGGCCTAGGGCTTCGGGGATTCAGATCCAGCCGAGGTGCCACCCCAGTATAATCAGTACAAGAGTACTGCGGCTGCATCACCTCAGCTCGAAGCCGGGACAAAGCACATGAAGCTGCAGCTCCACACCTGCCCAGCCAGAAAAACTCCCTGGAATCATCAGCACCCGACAGTCTCTGACTCTAACATAGCGAAGGAAAGCGCATGCACGAGATCCCAAACGACTAGAGCAACGGCCCTGGCAAGGCACAACCCGCGGAAGCCTGCATCCAAGGAGCTCTTTTCTGGTGCAAACAGGACATCTCGCACTCCACTACCTGCCGGTGGCTTGCCGTGGCCGCAGTTGGCATCTGGGGACCCTGCTCCACGCCAGAACCCATATGCAGCCCCACAGATGCACCATAATGAGCACTGATTCTGATGATAATGATGGTGGTGGTGGTGATGGTGACCATGATGATGACACCGATGATGAAATCTAACATAATCATGATGATGGTGATGATGATGATGATGATGAGGATGATGATGATGATGATGATGATGATGATGATGATGATGATGGCGATGGTGATGGTGATGGTGACGTGATGATGACGGTGATGAAATGCTGAGAAAGATGATGATTGTGATGACGCTGTTGATGATGATGACGATGATGTGCCCACCAAGACGGAAACCGATTTGAAAGGAACTTCAGGCGTTACAGCTATGTCGAAGTATGCCGGTATATGAGTACGTGCGTGCCTGATGACATGCGCCCGCTACATGACGAAAGACACTTCTCTCCAGAAGATCTGCCTAAAGCCCAAGGAACCTCAGCTAAGCTCGTCTTGGACCTTGCTACCTCTAGCTGACTCTAGCTACAATCAAAGGATATCAAAGGAAGAAAAGATTCTCGAAAAGATATCCGGTGAGACCCCAACCTGGCTGCCGCCGAGCCAGGCGCCGGAGTTCCAGCAAGGTAGGTCAACGCCATCCATCTCGCAGGGCCTTGGCAGTAGCAAAGGGGAGAACAGCAGTACAAGTAGTAGGAAGAAGTCGGCACAGGCGTAGACATTGCTCCTGCTGTTGATGCTGCCGTTGCTACTGTTGTTGCTGCTGCTGCTGCTGATGCTGATGCTGCTCCTGCTTTTACTCATGCTGCTGATGTTGCCACCATTCTAACGCTGGTGCGACTGCCACGACTTTCGGCACTACTAGCTTGCCTAGCACCTCTGCCACTCCTGCTGCCCCTGCTCTTCCAACTTCTACTGGTGCTGAAAGCTTGAATCTTCGGGACTCGCAGCCTACGACTTCGACAGAGGCCTGTTTCTTACGGCCCACATCGGCATGACCACAAAGGGCCGGCCCTGAAACTCCACTCTGAAGAGGTCTCCACAGCAGCTGAGCGGCATGCAGTAGGCCTTCTCCTTGGGGACGAGTGGCCGCGGGTCGTGACTGTGAAGCCGAACCCACATGCCTGTGCCGAGCTTCAGCATGTCGATGCGGACCGGAGCTTGGGGCCAGCGTAAACCAGCAGTACTGACGCGTGCTGCTGTGTCGGTAGCAGCAGCAGGAAGAGTAGTCGTCGAAGTAGTAGTAGTAGTAGTAGTAGTAGTAGTAGTAGTAGTAGTAGTAGTAGTAGTAGTAGTAGTAGTAGTAGTAGTAGTAGTAGTAGTAGTAGTAGTAGTAGTTGCTGTTGTTGTTGTAAACTCGCAGCAGCGCTAAGACCCCCAGAAAACACGGAAAGCAATCACACGCACTACTAGTCACTACTGCTAGTACGAGTATCAATGCTAGTAACACTACCACTGCTACGACGACGTCGCTACTGCTATTGCTACGGCTACGGCTACTGCAACTGCTACTGCAAACTGCTGCTGACAGGGCTGCTCGCGCGACGCGCTGAGTCGCTGTCTGAACAGATGCTGGAGAAGCAATACAAGTTCCAGGATCCGCTTCCCAAGTATCGAAAGACAAAAAGCATCGACATCTTCCGACACCCTCAATTCTGGAGCAGTTGATGGTCCAAGGCACAGTTGCGGTTCTCCACAGTGAGACACCTGTCGAGTGCAGTACGCGGGGCCATTTCAGGATCGAATGCTGACGGGCTGCTGCTGCTGCTGTCGCTGCTCTTCCTGTTGGTTTTGACAGTGCCGAATGCCGCCTCGCTGAGCTTTTCGGCGTTGCGCCTTTGCCTTTTCTGCGCTCAGTGGCTTCATGAGTTCAATCAGGCCTCTGTGCTATCTGAGCAGTTTCCCGGAGCCTCTCAGCCCTCGCAGTCCAGAAGCCTTGACAGAACGAGGCCCAAGTTGCCGTGCCTCAGATACATGCCAAAACCAAACAGAAATCCCAAGCCCTTACACTTTGAGCCGTCCGGGCCTGTTTTTGCTGGCATGCTCCCCATCATCGCAGGCGTGGGCTGGACCCTTCCTGAGGGCGCGAAACAGCGCAGGACTCATGGTGTTGGGGTTTGCAGGGGTCGATGGACTTGCCGAGTTTCTCGAACTTTGTCGTGACGTGGTTCGTGCGAGCCACAAGGTACTCAGCCGCCATCATGTCCTACCAGAGAAAGCAGGGTAGACATATTAGCGGCTGCGGCCGAGTCATAATTATGACCACACACGTCTGCGACGCATGAAATCTGCATTCTTGTGCAACTTCTTGCAAAGGCGGTCAGGCTGCATGCGGCCACCATGCTGACACGCAAGCGAAACTCCCCAGGGTCTTGTGTCAGCTGCAGGTCTCTTGTCAGCTCGCTCTTCCGGCACTCCTCGTGGGGTTCTGGTAGCTTCTCGAGCTCTTCCGAGACGAAGTATGGAGCACCATCTGAGACGATCCAAGGGGTGACCGTGCCACTTCTGGGAGATGGTTCAGGAGACGGTGGTTACAGGAAGCAGGATTGCCTGCAATTGAACACAAAGCCAGAAAGACCGTGGAAACCACGCGAAAGACCGTGGAAGGGTTGGAGCGCGAGCGCACGGCGCCCGAGCTGACACCTGCCTGGCCCTGGACCTTGCAACCTCCTTGCAGCCCCCTGCATCTCTACCATCTCTGCAAAGCCCTAACTAACGATTCTCTCACTCCGGGGCTGCAGCTGGCCGGCGCAAAGCCTTGGCCATGGGACCTCAGATGTCCCATGGGACCCAGTCGAGCGGGGGGGGAGGGCCTAGCCTCGGTCCTGGGTTGCTTAAGCAAGCCAAATTCGCTGCCAGGGCGCGTCTGCAATGCGATGCCACGAGCTTCGCGAAGGAACCCCAGTGCAAACAGGAGCCTCAGATGGAAGAGAAGCAGAAAAAAAGACAACATCAGCATGAGATTGTGCCCGACGGATGCCACTGCTGGTGGAGCTTATGCTTGTGATGATGAAATGTGACTGTCAATACTGCTGCGAAAGGCAAGATTCGTTCTGTCTTCATCGTCAGCACATTCGCATCGTGCCATGTTGCAGTGATATGCAGTTCTGCTTGTGTGCTGCTAACAGCATGCCTTTCTACAGCAGTACGATTTTGTTGTGCTCGCATGATGCTTCACTCCCGCTTCGTCGTTGCATGCTATCTGCAGAACGGATGCACGGGTATGGCAACAGCGAAGGCAGAAAGAGACATACTACATTACATGTACAGACCACACAAAGTCAGAAGACAGCCAAACGACAACGATGACCTCAAGGTTGCGAGGTTTCGTCCTGTGTCCTTCTCCCTCGGCCTGCTTTCAGACGCCCTGGAAGCCAATCTGCTGGACGGGCCGAACTGAAAGTATGTTGCCATTTTCGGGAGTGCCAGCCTTGGGGTCGAAACGGCACCAACACTAAAACACGTCTGGCAAGCGGCTTCATTGTGCGGTGCGCTCGCCCATCGTCAGGGTGAGAATTCACCCGGGCCGAACACGGCTGCAGGCATGGGTGACCCTCGTCGGCGGTTGTTGCATTGCTAATTTACGGACTGCGGGTAGCAGCCTCTTTAGCTTTAGGCGGAGGAGCACTCGGCAACAAAAACAGCAGCATCACCTTTACTCCGCAATTCGGGAAAACCAAGCAGCGACTCAGCCTCAAGAAGCACAAAGCCGTGGCTGGAAGCCCTGTGGCTCACACGCCGTGTGAAAAGCTTCGACGGGTACATGGCCAAAGCTAGGAGCTGTTCTCCCGGCCATAGGCGGCTGTGGCAACTCAGCTAAAACGCCGGACCAGCTCCTCACGTGGCAGCTAGGGCTTATGTAGGGCCTTCACACTTCCAATAAGGCTTCGGGGTGTGTTCTACTACACTTATCATCTGGAACCCCGAGGAACAATCTCATTCCAAATTACTCAGGCTTCCATGTTTAAGGCTACGGTCGCTTCAGGTCGTCCCGGATCTAAGGCGGTAGCTTGTAGGATCCAGTCATGAGTCACCAGCTTCCGAAATAAGCCAGGTTGGTCCAAGTCCGAAAGCAACTAACGAGGCTGCTCATTGCAACTGCTCAACAAGTGGTGCCAATGCAACAACCCTCCTGCACAGCAAGCAGACCTCTCAACCACACTTCGATTCAAGCTTTGCATCCTACACTGCTCCCTGGCTGTAGCTAACATACCTACGCACGGAGGCCTCGGCACACGGCCTTTCTTCCGGAAGCGTTGCAGTGCAATCCGAAAAAATCTGCCGAACCTTGGAGCAGCTTGATTGGATGGACGAAGCGTGAGGCGTAATGTGACCAAACCATCGTCACAAAGGCAGCGGCGCAAACAAACATGACCGGTTCATTGCAATGGCAAGGCCGCCATCAGCTAACCATCGTTCAACTAACAAGGGCAACCACCAGCGTGCGCGGTGCGCTAGAGCTGCGACAGGTCATGGTGATGGTGCTGATGCCGATAGTGCCGGTGCCGTTGCCGCTGTGGTGCCTGTGCGTGGTGCCTTGGTGCTGCTGGTGCTGCCGGCGCTCTGCTGCCACGGTGCTGGTGCTGGTGATTCAACGTGCGAAGCTCGCGCTGAGTAGAGTTCTGGTGGGAATCAGATTCCCTGGACCGGGCATTACGAGTTCAGGACGGGCTTAGAGGCTCAGGGCTTCTGGTTCCGAAGTCACGCTGAGGCACATCTTCTGCCACCTGCTCATCGAGTTCGAGCCTCTTCCCGCTGGCGATGAAGATGATAATCTGCGGCGCCATCTTTCCTGGCGACAGCACTCTAGACCAGCTTTAAGGTTGGATCCATCGGGCAATATGACCTGGTACCTCGCACTCA